ATCGCCAAGCCTCGCAAGCCTAACAACTTGCGCATACACCAAGAGGTCGCCGAAGTTGGATTAAACTCCCATAAGGAAAGAATGTTTGAAATAGTATTCGTTAGCCCATTTTACCCAAAGACAGTCTTTGAGTAAAGCCAAATCCCATAGGAGCTTGAAGGAGTAGAGCGATGTTAGAAGATGAAGCATGCCACGCCTTTCCAATCGGTTAAGGCCTTTGGTATTGCTTCAACCCACTTGATGAAGTAGTCTTCCGCGGTGATAAAAAAATGGTGACCATGACTAGAGGAAGAATTGGACGGTCGAAACCGGGTGTGAAAGAAAGACGTTGAAGGCTCGATGTAATTGACCTAAACTCTCAAGGCTCTATATGCCCTGGATCTCCAATGTACCTTTGGAGAAAGGTTTACGGTGGATTCCGACCTGGAAATCTCTTCCGAATGGTGATCGCCAGTTTGGAGAGAAGAATGCTGTCACCAATATCTTCACATCAATGAAGTGGCTGCGTTCGCTCTTCTACTGCGGGTCATCCATTCGTTTAAAGGTCAATTACATCAAACCTGGTATTTTATTCTCCAAGCGGGTCTTGTACCCATTGGATAATGAGTGGAATACCAGATGCGCTAATGAAGATCTATCTTTTTATGAGAAGAATCCGGGTCAGGTCTTTGACCAGCTCGGTTCAGCTCTGGAGTCGTATGTTCTTCATCAAGGAAGGATTGCTCAAGTGGTAGAAGGAGCAGGGAAGAGGTGACTGTTTGTAATAGGAAAATCAAAGAGCGTCTTCTCAGACCGGTGCATGATTGGGGTATGCGGGTGTTATCCCACCTACCTGCAGATAGATGGGACCTTTAATCATTCAGGTCCTATCCATCGATTAATGCGCATTGCTCATCTCAAATGCTTTTATTCATTTGATTTAAGTTCTGCCACTGATCGGTGGCCAGTATCCGTGATTCTTGACTTAATGTCATGCCTCTTCGGACCAACCTTGGCATCTTCTATCATTAATGGTTGTTTGGCCCTGAACGTGGCGATGTTGGGTCCTCCGCGTCCCATTTGTTTTGTGGTTGGGCAACCATTAGGATATTATGCTTCTTGGGCCCTTTTCTCCCTGTCCCATCACTATGTGGTGTGGATGGCGGCAAACCGTGCTGATCCGAATAGAAGCGTTTACCAGATACGCTCTCCTCGGTGATGATATCGTCATCGCGGATGCGCGTGTTGCAGATAAGTATGTAGAGATTATCAATGCTCTTCAGGAGAGAAGCTTAACTAAAAAATAATATTGTATCTGAAAAATAAATATTATTCAGTAATTATGCAAAAGCCAATAAACTTGCAACTGCACAAAAAACAGATTTACTGTAACGCCCCGTTCGTTTATGAATAAATGGATTATTGCTATTATTATTATTATTATTATTATTATTATTATTATTATTATTATTATTATTATTATTATTATTATTTGTTTAATTGTCAAATTGCTTAAATAATATATTTATTTATAATGTGTCAAATTGTGTATTATTAATACAATAATGAAATATGTATTATGTAAATAATTATTTATTCGGTTATTATTTATTTTATCGTGCGATTTAACCGAGTCCCGACCCGAGCCATTCGAACACGGTCCGCCCGCGAGCGTCTAACAGACCGAGAACCGACCCAGCCGA